CCTAACCTATCTCTCTCACTCTAAAACTACCATCTCTCTTTTACACATAAGAAGGTATGCTCGTGTTCGAGCTCAAGCTAAGCCCTTTGACTGGTAAACTCATCGAAAAACGAAAAAAGAGAGATGAAGTTTGAATAAAGTGTTATTTTATTGTTTGTTTGAGTTAAAAATTTATGGTCAAAAGGGTACAGGGGTTGTAAGATGGAAATGATGTAGACTTTTTGCTTACAAGTGATATTTTCAATTATTGAGTCTCATGAGATATAAAAGTTAAAAATAGATGATAAATAGATATTATATAATATATATTTATTGCCACTTACACGATGCACTATTTTACCACTCAACTTTTTTATTTTATTTTTATTTTTTAATTTTTTTACGTCTATGTCGATTAGAAGATTTTCAATTTTCAATTTTCAATTTTAAAAAAGAGTAGATGGCTTAGATGCATCTTCAGTCCACACTTTAAGGGTGTAGCCTTATATAAACTCTTTGATTAGGGGGAAGAGAGAGCTATTTGGTTAGGAGAGAGACAGAGAGGTAACTGAAGTTTTGGAGGGACAGAGAGGGAGGGGCAATGGAAACAGACGTAGAGAAATGCGTGGTCCTCGAGAAAATATTGGAGCTGTTGGTGTCAGCAGGTTATTACAGGGCGACGATTTGTACATTGTCCACATTCGACAAGCTCACTGGGGGCCTCGCATGGTGCATCTCTGCCGCCGCTCACGCTCACGCTCATCCCAATTTCTACATCCTCTATCACGACGAACAAACCCTAGGCGACAAGATGTACTCTCTCCTCTCTCTACTTCTAACTTTGCAAATTGAACTGGACACTACTCTTAGACAACAGTGTGAAACGCGTGGGTTGTTTAGAGATACTTTCAAATACATTTATTCTAACATTACAAATGGAAATGCAAATTACTCTTAATATATCCAACTGAAGGATTAAGTTTATTTGTAGATTCTTTTATAGAAAAAAGGAATCATTTGGAGATTTTTTTTTTTTTTTGTCAATTCTCTCATACATTTCTGATGCTTGTTTTTTTTTCCTTTGTTTGTGTTGGGAGGTGATGCCAAATCACCACCGCACGTAGTATATTGGTGGGGGTATGAAGCTTTTTTAGTGGAGGCTCATAAAAGGTTTTTCTAGAGAGAGAAACATAGAGAAAAAGGGGGGGAGTTCTTTTCTCCACCTTGATGCAAAATCACGTCCTTGCTTTGCCAACCCTTCATTTCTTTCCTTTCTTGAAACTAGAGAGGTTAGACTCCATTATAATTTTTCTACTTAGATGGGCTTCATAAGCATATCCTCAAGGTTGTCTTCATTCTTAATCTTGGTCAATCGAACACTTTCATCTTCAACAACTTGCTGGACATAGTGATATTGAACCAATATGTGCCTTAACTTCCTATGGTGAATCGGGTTCTTTGCCAAATGGATAACACTCATATTTTCACAAAATTGTTCCATGGGCTTGCACATAATGCCCATCTCACCTATCAACCCTTGAAGCCACACGGCTTCTTTTGATGCCTCCGTTTCTGCCAAATACTCGGCTTCGATAGTTGACAATGCTACCGTGTCTTGGAGCCTTGACATCCAACTAACCGGTCCATTTGCAAACCAAAAAACAAATGCGGTAGTCGACCTACCTCTATCAAGATCATCGGCAAAATTTGCATCCACAAAACCTTGCATTTGCGTTGAGCCCTTGCGAAATATGATTGCATAACGAGTTGTACTTCTTAAGTATCGAATTACCCATTTTGTTGCTTCCCAATGGACCTTTTTGGGGTTTACCATAAACTGACTTAGAACACCAACCGCATGCGCGATGTCCGGTCTTGTACATCCCATGACAAATATCAAACGTCCAATCGCATTTGCATAAGGAACCTTAGCCATGCTTGTTCTTTCTTCTTCCATCTTCAGACTTTGCATTGAAGACAATTTGAAGTGAGGCGCTAAGGGTGTCTTCACCGGCTTTGTATCTTTCATGCCAAAATTTTCAAGTACCCTTTCTATGTAACCCTTTTGAGATAATGACAAAATTCCATTTTGTCTATCCCTTTTAATTTCAATCCCAAGGATTTGCCTTGCCGGCCCGAGATCTTTCATCTTAAATCTTTTGCTCAAATAAGTCTTGAGCTCATCAATTTCAATCCCAAGGATTTGCCCTATATCTTTCAAGCTTTCCATCAAGCCCCTTCTTTATCTTGAACACCCATTTACAACCAACGGCCTTTTTACCTTTTAGTAGCTCTACCAAATCCCAAGTCTTAGTTATTTGAAGGGTCAATATCTCCTCTTCCATAACCTTTTTCCAATGCTCAGTACCATTGCTATCAATGGCTTCATGGAATGCTATTAGCTCTTCATTTTCGGCTATCAAAGCATGCAAAGTATTTGAATCCACATAATCTTTGTGCAACCCGGGTCCCCGAATTTCTCTAGTAGAGTGCCTATATACAAAAAGCACAATTTCATCATGATAGCCATGTGGTTCTTCATCTTGACTTCCTTGTTCTTTACCATATTCTTCATCATGATCAATGGGTATATGCATCATGATCAATGGGTATATGCTCGTAAGGCATAATTGTACTTGGTGGAAGTGTTTCGGGGTTGCCTTGAAATTCTTGGCTCTGTTGTTGCACTTCTTAACCATTGTCCTTTATCGTCATCCCTTTTGCTAATACCTTGGATTCATCAAAATGCACATCACGACTAGTAATTATTTACCGTTATCCCTTCACATCCTTGCTATAACCCCCAAAGATGCACTTCTTTGACCTTGGATCCAATTTGTTCTTTTTGGCAACTTGGAATAAGTGCATAAGCATCACAACAAAAAATTTTCAAATCGGAGTAGTCACTCGGATTCCATACCATGCCTCATTAGGAGTTTTGCTTCCCAATGCTATGGAAGGTGATCAGTTGATAAGATAACAAGCCATTGATAGAGCTTCCGCCCATAATTCTTGTTCTAGGCAAGCATTGCTTAACATGTACCGTGCACGCTCCATCAAAGTGCGATTCATCCTCTCGGCCACATCATTTTGTTGAGGATTGTAGGCATTTGTCTAATGCTTAGTAATTCTTTCGGCCTTGTAAAATTTTTCACACTCCTTTGGTATAAACTCTTTACCATTATCTGTCCGAAGAACTTTGATGTGATGCCTGTAGATTTTTCAATTTCGGCTTTAAAATTTTTTAATGCGCAAAACACATCACTTTTGGACTTGAGAGTTTTGATCCATACCTTTCTTGAGAAGTCACAAACTAATGAAACAAAATATAATGCACCGCCATAAGATGTAGTTGGTGAAGGGCCCCTTACATCTGAGTGAATGTAATCAAATTTGCACTTGCTTACCTTGTTACTACATTCAGCTGTAGTAAAGAGGATTCGCTTGATTTGGACGCGGTGTGTAGTACCCTACTTGCCGATGAACTTCGAAAGAAGGCATCTTTGGGAAGTTGTAGAATCGAAGACAGAAGCTCTTGTGGCAAGAGGTCGATCGAATGAACGGGGTGATTCGTCGAAGAATCATTCAAGAAGTAATTCAAGATTTCGATCAAAATCTAGAGGGCCCAATAACAAGAATGTGTAGGCATTGTGGGAAGCCCGGTCATATAAGGAAGATTTGTTTTAAAAGAAATGGAGTGAATTCTTTCAAACCTCCAAACGCGGGAGGTGAAAAGCCAAGTGAATCCCAGAATGAAGCAAATCAAGTCGAAGAGTCTACATCCGAGTTCATTGAAGATGAAGTATTGATGGTGGCATATAATTCAATATTCTATCAAAATTGGATACTTGATAGTGGAGCCACCTATCACATGTAACCCCATAGATCATGGTTTGACTCATATGAGTCATGTGAAGGAGGATCGGTATCCATGGGAAATAATTCCACTAGCAAGGTGGTTGGAATGGGTTCGGTTCGCCTAAGGATGTTTGATGGTACTATTCGGGCAATTAAGAATGTTAGGCATGTGCCGGAACTAAAAAGGAGCTTGATTTCCTTCTCTTCTCTAGATTCGAAAGGATATAAGTTTACCGGTCAAGATGGAGTAATCAAAGTATCAAAAGGGTCTCTAATTGTGATGCAATGAGTCCTAGTTGGGAGCTTGTACAAGTTATTGGGAAGCGTAATAATAAATGATGAAGTGAATTCCATGGTCGAAGGCGAGGAAGTTCCATTTTGCCTATGGCATAGAAGATTGGGGCATATGAGTGATAAGGGTACGGAGGTCTTGATGAAGAAAAATTTTATTCCTACACTTCAATAGATGGATCCGAATTTTGTGAGCATTGTGTCTATGGGAAACAACATAGACAACCTTTCAAGGCCGGGAAGCATACAAGTAAGTGCAAACTTGATTACATTCACTCGGATGTATGAGGCCCTTCATCAACTACATCTTATGGCGGTACATTATATTTTGTTTCATTTGTTGATGACTTCTCAAGAAAGTATGAATCAAACCTCTCAAGTCCAAAAGTGATGTATTTTGTGCATTAAAGAATTTTAAAGCCGAAATTGAAAAATCTACGGGGCATCACATCAAAGTTCTTCGGACCGATAATGGTGGAGGGTTTGTATCAAAAGAGTTCGAAAATTTTGCAAGGTCAAAGGAATTACTAAGTATTACACAATTGCCTACAATCCTCAACAAAATGGTGTGGCCGAGAGAATGAATCGCACTTTGATGGAGCGTGCGAGGTGCTTGTTAGGTAATGCTAGCCTAAAACAAGAATTATGGGCGGAAGTCGTATCAATGGCTTGTTATCTTATCAACCGATCACATTTGATAGCATTGGGAAGTAAAAGTCCTAATCAGGTATGGTATGAAACTCTGAGTGACTACTTCGATTTGAAAATTTTTGGTTGTGATGCATATACACTTATTCCAAGTTACCAAAAGAACAAATTGGATCCTAGGTCAAAGAAGCGCATCTTTGTGGGTTATAGCAAATGTGTGAAGGGGTACCGGTCATGGGATCCAAGTACCCGAAAAATAACTATTAGTCATGATGTGCATTTTGATGAATCCAAGGTCTTGGCAAAATGGATGATGATAAAGGACAATGGCCAAGAAGTGTAATAAGAGAGCCAAGAATTTCAAGGCATCCCCAAAATACTTCCATCAAGTACAATTATGCCTTATGAGAATATACCCATTGGTTATAGTGAAGAGCATGAAGGATTAGGAAGTCAAGGTGGAGAACCACATGGCTATCATGATGAAGTTGTGCCTTTGGCACAAAGGCGCTCTACTAGAGAAACTCGTGCATCCAGGCGGCACAAAGATTTTGTGGATTCAAATACTTTGCATGCTTTGATAGATGAAAATGAAGAGCCAACATCATTCCATGAAGCCATTGATAGCAATGGTACCGAGCATTGGAAAATAGCTATGGAAGATGAGATATTAGTCCTTTAAAGAAACAAAACTTGGGATTGGGTAGAGCTAACAAAAGGTAGAAAGGCCGTTGGTTGTAAATGAGTGTTCAAGATAAAGAAGGGGCTTGATGGCAAGCTTGAAAGATATAGGGCGAGATTGGTGGCAAAAGGTTTTTTGCAAAAGGAAGGGATTGACTTTGATGAAATTTTAGTATCGGTAGTCAAGTTGGTCTCAATTCGCTTGGTGTTTGGGTTAGTTGCTATGCATGATTTAGAGCTTGAGCAAATGGATGTGAAGACAACTCTTTTGCATGGAGAACTTGAAGAGGAAGTGTACATGCAACAACCGGAAGGCTTCATAGAGAAAGGCAAAG